GGCCCGGGCAGCCGCTCACCGCTGCTTCCGCTCCGCCTGCTGGAGCCGCCGGGAGAGGTCTTCGATCCGCACGTTCTTGAGCTGGAGCAGGTGCTCCAGGCGCCTTACCTTCATCTGCAGGACCTAAGCCGCGCCGCACAAGGGTCAAGTCCCGCGGCCTGCTCCCTCCTACCTGGCCTCTGCTAGCCACGACCCCCCACCCGCAGCCTTCCTAGACCCCTCACCTGCACGGTCTCCTGCGAGGCCAACAGCTCCTGCTCCTTTTCAGCGATCTGGAGGACGAAGCTCGGGTCGCCCTGCAACGCCTGGTTATACGCCGGAGGCCGAGGCGCCGGCGGCCGTACCCCGCTGGGGTGGGAAGCAGCTTAGCCGAGGCTTGGACCTCGGGCCCTACACTCACCCTTCCAGTGCCCTCGACCAGGCCTTCCCTTCTCCCCCTCTAGCCCCTTTCGTGCCTCAAGCTCAGCCTACCCTGCCCCCCAACCCCAGCTGTGTGCAGAGATCACCAGCCTGATGAAGTCAGGAACTCCCAGCTTCTTTACCTGAGCTGACCCTCTCCCTGGGGGTCCAGGGCACCTTCACCTCGGGCCTTCTGGGATAAACCTGAGACAAGGCAAGTGGAGGAATGACTGTGCTGGAGTCTCACTTTCCTGCTTCCCCCGCCCCAGTTCCACTCTCACAAGCGACAGGAAGAAGAACAGAAGGAAAGCTCCACTGGGGAGGAAGAAATGGAAAAGGCCACCTTACCCACATCCATGTAGCCACTGCCATCCTGGGGAGCCAGCTCCTGAAAGAACCCCGGGGTCCGCTGTGAGCCCAGGCTCAGTCATCCCCAAGGAGCCCTATGTCCCTTCCACCGGCCCCCAGGCCAGACTCTATTAGCCAAGCACCCCTCCCCCACACTTATCACCCAGGCTGGCCTTTCTGTGGTCGGGGGAGTGCCCCCCACCCAGCCCCCAGAGCAGTGGGAGAAGCTCGAGCGGGGTGGCACCTGTAAGGAGCCAGTGCCCTGCTTCCTGCGCCTCTGCCTCTCCTCCAGGCGCTGCCTCAGCGGTATAAGCACCAGCTCCACCACACCTGGGGCGCACTCTGCGATCTTGCGCATCACGTCATCCGGTACTGAAAAGTTCAGCCTCTTCAGCACCTTCCTGAGGGGTAGACACAGGGATAGCGGATTGGGTCCTGGGGAAATGAAGCGAGGGGACGGGGGGAGAGGGAAGGGGGCATGGTGGTTGCAGTTCTGAGTGCACAGCCCTGGGGGAGTGGAAGGGCATCGCATCTGAGCTTCCTTGTGTGGGTGTCCCGAGGTTCCTTGCCTCCTTCCGAATAGAATAGTCTTTTCATTTTGTAATCGGACGAATTCTGTCTGCGTTGACCCTCCCCACCCTGCCACCAAAACAGTCTCAGCCTGGGCAACCAAGACCATAGGAGATGATGGGGCTGGGGTAGTCCTTCCTGGGAACCCAGGGTGGGGGCTAGAGATTCCCACTCCTGAACCCAGGTATTCTGTTACCTGTTCAGATGACTCCAGTTGCTGAGTTTCTGCTGGAGAGAGTTGGCAGGGACATAATTGTGCATCTCCACCATCTTGGGGAAGTAAAACTTGATGACCTCTGCAACTAGGACTGAGGGAGAGGGGAGCAGATATGGAAGGTGGGGGCATGGGTAAGGAAGGAAGAGGGGAGAGAAGGTGGGTGGGAGAATCAGGCATGGCAGAGCAGTGGAACCCAATGGAGGGGTGGAGATGCAGAAAGGGGAAGGATAAGGAGGGAGACAAAAACATTAAGATTAGTCATAGGTAGAGGAGACTAAGTCTCCAGCATACCTCAGAGGTATGCATCCCTTCCCCATGAATTTAGGAACGGGAATACTGAGTCCCTGGTCCTCTAGTAGAGAATGAGTCAGCCAGCACAGTGGCTCACACCTATAATCCCAACATTTTGGGAGGCTGAGGCAGGCGTATCACCCGAAGCCAGGAGTTCGAGAACAGCCTGGCCAACATGGTGAAACCCCATCTCTACTAAAAATACAATAATTAGCTGGGTGTGGTGGTGCATGTAATCCCAGCTACTTGGGTGGCTGAGGCAGAAGAATCGCTTGAACTTAGAAGGTGGAGGTTGCAGTGAGCTGAGATCATGCCATTGCACTCCAGCCTGGGCAACAAGAAAAAAAAAAAAGAGAGAGAGAGAGAAAACAAGTCTCCAAGAGAGGCTTTCAGGAGCCCAGGGAATTCACATGGATGCATGATACACACACACACACTCCAACACCACAGTTTCAGGAGAGTAAAAGAGTCACATAAGCAGAGACACATGTGATAAGATCTCTCTACATATAGATACATAGGGCAGAATGTGTAGACACATAGAACAAATACATGCTAGGCACACATGTAAAACACACATAAACAGAAGCACAAAAAGCCACATATGCACACAGCCTCCCCAAATATAGAGATGCACAGAAGTACTTGACATGAGATGACAGGTAAGTATTTGTGTCACTGAGACCCCAGGAGACATTCCTAGAAACACAAACACCTTCACAAGCACAAAGAAACACAAGCACACAAACCCCCACAAATACAGGACTAAACATGTCAACACACATATGAACACACACATATGAACACACACATACTCAGACTCCCACAAGACAAATATAGAACACATAGCAATGAGTGAGCACATACAGAAATGCACAAATAAATATGCAGACACATATCTTAATCACTAATGTCCCTGGAGGGAGTTAGAGGCACATCCCCCCCCCCTTGCACGCAGGATAGAACATGTAGACATACATATATGGGCACACATCGTTCACACACAGATGCAAATAGAAAACAAGCACACACGTCTACAATTTGAAGTTCCAGGAGACAGATTCCTCCCCACCCCTACACGCACACAAACACAAAGAGTTTGCACAGAGACCCATCACACACGAACATACAGGACAGAACATGCAGACACACAGGGGCACACACCTCCATCACTAAAGTCCCGGGAGAGGTTTCGCTTGGGCCGGGACAGAGGTATGTTGTCTACCCACAGGTACAGCTGGTGCAGCGCCTCCTCGTCCACGCTGCTCGCCATTGGCGTCCTCAAGGCCTGGCCGCCCCAGCGGTGCCGGGTCCAGCCCCAGCCTCACGACCCTTCAGGCGCTTCCTTTCTTGCCACTGCAGAAGCCCGTAACTGCCTCTGCCTGCCTAATCCAGAGACTCACGTCCCAGCTGGGAGCGGCCATATTGTTTTCTGAAACCATGGAAACCATCCCCTGCCTCGCCTGGGAGCAAAGACTTCTGGGAGTTGTAGTTTTATCCCCTCCCCGCTACCTCCTCTCAGGCCCGAGCTTTGAAAAGGCGGTTAGCTGTCCTTTTCTTCTTCCCAAGAAAGCATCACTTCTGTGCCCACGCCACCTGCTGACCAGTCACTCACCCACTTTGGGACCAGCCAAAGCCAATCAGGCCCTCAGAATTCCTGCATCTGCACACCTAGGGTGGGGATTCCCCTTCTTGGCCCTTTAGCCCTTTAGTCCCAAATGAAGGGAGCACTCCAGTGTTTGTCAGCTTTATTTGGGGGTGCACTGTTGATAATCTGCCACTCAACTGGATTGCGTGGTACAACTGCTTCCTGCTTCGTCCCTCTTCAAAACTCTATGGTCATGGGGTCATCGCCACTCGCCCTTCCCAGCAGTGTTCTAGTGGGGTATTTAATAGGTAACCCAGACTCCCAGGGAGAACACCAGAGTTCAAGGCCAGTACCTTGGGCAGGTCATTTAACTTCTTAACTCCATTTCCTCCTTTGTGAAATGACGATGGTTCTCACTTATTTGTCCCAAACCCCTCATCTCCCGTCAATGAGCTAGCTATTCTTCCATGGATTAGAAATTCATTTCAGGCAGGGCACAGTGGCTCACGCCTGTAATCCCAGCACTTTGGGAGGCCGAGGTGAGCAGATCACCTGAGCTCAGTAGTTCGAGACCAGCCTTGCCAACATGGCAAAACCCCGTCTCTACTAAAAATGCAAAAAAGTTAGCCAGGTGTGGTGGCGGGTGCCTGTAATCCCAGCCACTGAGGAGGCTGAGGCAAGAGAACCGCCTGAACCCGGGAGACAAAGGTTGCAGTGAGCTGAGATCGTGCTATTGCACTCCAGCCTAGGTGACAGAGCGGGACTCCATCTCAAAAAAAAAAAAAAAAAGAAAGAAAGAAAGAAAATTCATTGCAGTACCCAGTTCCATTCCAAAACAGCACTACCCTTAGGAGGGTTAGGAATATGGGTCCCTCCTTAGTGAAGAGGTACTTCTAGAGTCAGGATGGGAAAACAGCTTGACTAACCGCGTGGCCTTGGGCACCTGATCAGACCTCTGCCTGGTTTCTCTTGGCTTTACCTACCTTATAGGGGCTTTGTGAGCATCTAAAGCATTTAGCACAGAACAGGGCCCCTATTAGTATCAGCTGGTACTATCATTAATGAGACAGTCTCAGTTCCAGCAAGAAGTGTTCTTTTTCACAGGAGACAAATGGAAGTAATTCGCCTTGTTGGAACCTGCGGTGAGGGAGCTGGGTTAAACAGGAGCACCTGGGCAAGCAGGCTATGCTCCCTCCTGCTCACTCCAGAGCAGGTGGGGCTTACTTGTAGCTTTCTGGTCTCCAACTCCAGGGTTCAGATTTGGGGTGGGAAGGTGGTGGCAAGGGGGATCCCAACTACTTTTTGTTGTCACTTCAAAGTCCTCAAGGCCTGGAGGGGATTCCTGAATGCCAGAAGTGCAGGCCAAGAGTGGAAGTCACACCCATTTCTAGTTTTAAAGTCATATATAGTGGTGTTGATTTTCCACAAGGGGCAATAACCAGGGCATGCCAGGGACAAGAGATGAACTGGATACTCCCCCATTAACATTCCCAGTGTTGGAGGAGAAACTTGGTGGTGAGGGCAGGCTGGGGCTGGGAAGGAAACACAGAAGTGATGTGCCAGCCTCAGGTGAGGTGGGAAAACCGGTTTGGGGCCCAGAGCTGCCAGCCTTGCTTAAGCCCAGGCCCTTCCCCGGTTGGAACCGCTGGGGCCTCAGTGAGGAAGGGGTAGGGAGGGGCTGGCTCTGAAAGGAAAAATGGTAGGATCAGCAAAGGGACCTGACCTCACCTTTGTACTGGGGCCCCCCTGGAAGGCACTGCACAGGGAGTGACCAACTCATTCTCTGCCTCTTGGGGGTGCAATCTGTTCCTAGCAATTTCACCTTCCTCCTGCCACTGTGCCCAGAGGTGGCCACCAGGCTTGGAGATGCCAATCACTGAAAGGCCTAAAGGGCTCTCTCTTAAGGCACCAAAGGTAAACCAAAGGTGCCCTATATGCCCCTCCAAACTCCAATCTGGACCCCAGAAGCTGCCCCAACACTCCTTTCTGTCCTGACTTCACTCCTGCAAAGGCCTTCAAACCAGCCTCCGTAGGCCTAGTCCCCATGTGCATATGGATTTGCCCCCAGAGACTAATGGCTCCCTTCCTCCTGCCCCAGCCAAGTGATCCCAAGCTTGAGGTCTCCTCCTGCCCCTCTTCGGGTCAGGGCCACCCTCTCAACACTTGCCTCCATGTCCCACCAAAGCAAGGACCAAAGGAAGCCAGGACAAATATGTCCCCCAAGACAGACGCAAGCCCAGACCATGAAGGATGCACCCTTGGCTGTTAAAATGTTCACCCCCACAAAAGGGGAGTGGACAGATTTATTGAAATCAAACTGGGAAAGGAGCAGCTGGATGGCTGGACTCTGGGCCCAGCCCCAGGCCCCTCTGCCCAGGATGGGACCCTGCCAGAGAGGGAAGAGAGGCATGGGGCCTGCAGCTGCCCACAAAAGGGAAGCGCCCATTGTCACTCCCATGGTGGGGGACCTCTTGGAAACCTCCAATCTGGAGAGAAAACCAAGGGCCAAAGTCACATGGACAGGGCCAGAGAAAGGGACTGGGGAGGTGGAAAGCAGGCAGAAGCAGGCTCAGGAGCCCGTGGTGAGTTAAACTGTGCTTCTCGAGGTGGCCCGGGGGGTGGGGGTAGGGGCTGCCAGCCTTGCAGGGGGCCTAGGCTGGACCTTCCTCTGGAGCCCTTCCCAGAATGGCTTTGGGGTCCCCTCCGCACCAAAGACCTGGTGGCAGAGGGGAGAGGCACTCTCCGGCCGGGAACCTCCAGGGCCCACCCCTGGCTGCTGCTGTGGTTAGTCCACTGAGGGCACGGTGTGGTAGCACCGGACAGCTCCCCACCCACCCCACCTGGTCCCCTGAGCCCAGGGCCAAATGGGAAGGAAAGAGGATTCTGAGAAAGAGGCAATAAGCAGGCAGTGAGGCTGAACTCAGCCCCCGGCCCGGCCGAGGTGACCAGGCCTGTTGCAGGGCCAGGGGAAGCATTACTAAAGGATCTGGGGCTCCACACTCTGGCTCCATGCACAGCGGGTGCCCAGAGAGTCCTCTGCCCTGGGGTGGTGCTGCCAATCTAGGTTGGGGGCACAGCTAGGTCCAGTGACTCAGCTTTGATGTCCAAGACCCCGAACTCCCGCCTGCCTGGCATGGTTCTTCCTGGTCACGTGAACCAGATCGTGTTCCAAGTGGAGGATGTGGCTCTGCACGCGGTCGTCAATGGGGAAGGAGGTCAGGTACCTCTTGACCATGGCGAAGTAAGCCATGGCCTCCCCAAAGCTGGGTACAGGCACCTCATCACCATCCTCCTCATCATCATCGTCATCTTCATCTTCATCATCCTCTTCCTCATCGTCCTCCTCTTCCTCACTGTCCGAATCAGAGTCCTCCCCACCTTCCAGGAAATGCAGAGTAGGGCACTGGGCCTCCTCCTGGGTACCATAACCCCCGAAGCTGCCACCGGCCTCCACTACTCCCTGGGCCCAGTCCTCAGCCTCCAAGCCCTCAGAGGAGCTCTCCTCATCTTCCTCCTCTTCTTCATCACTGTCATCAACATCACCCTCCTCCTCTACCTCCTCTTCCTCCCCCAATTCCTCTCCTTCCCCTGCTTCCTCCTCCTCCTCCTCTCCTTCCTCCTCCTCTTCCTCTCCTTCACCCTCCTCCTCCTCCTCCTCTTCTTCTTCCTCCTCCTCCTCTTCCTCTTCCTCCCCCTCGCTCTTGAGGGAAGTGGTGATGGTGGCATTAGGGCCACCCCCAAAGCCAGCCTCACGAAAGCAGGCGGCTATGTCCGAAGGCTCCACTGCCTGCCAGGCGGCAGCCACAAAGTGCAGGGCCTCCGTGAGACCCAGCTGCAGGCCTGAGCGATCCTGGCCCTCTAGCGCGGCCATGGCCTTGAGCAGCATGGCCTGGCGGTAGTGGCCCTTCACCTGCTGGACCACTCCCCTCTCCAACGGATGCACGGTGCCCGGCGGGAAGAAGGCCAGCTGCACATGCCGCAGGCCCGAGGTGTCCAAGGACTGAGCAGCCAAGCGGCCGGCCAGCAGTAGGACCCGGCGAGACTCTGCAGCCATTCGGGTGTCCAGGGCCTTCAAGTACTTGGCCAGGGCCTGGGTAGTGACACCACCCTTGGAGTTGGCGGTGTAGTCGCAGGGCAGGCCGGCTTGGCCTGCGCGGGGCTTCGCCGACTTGCCG